TAAATTTATAAAAGAAGGAGCTTTCTTATGTAAACGATAGATTTGTAGTAATTTGATGTTAAGTGCTAGATGTATAAGTCACACAGAATTTTGTATTTGTGAGGTTGGCGCCAGTGTTGTGTGAATGTGAATGTGAGTCAGCGGAAGTTGACCGAATGAATTAGTAGTCAAGAGTGTGCAACAGTGTAGAGAGTGCAAGAATGTTAGTAGATCTAGGAATAAACTCTGAATTTTATCTATAACTACAATGTCTGTGTTGTGCCTAATAACTTAATTTGTCATTATTAAATATATTTACACATTTATATGCATATACATATGTATGAATTCTATTATATGTATATATGTATATCCTAAGACTCAACGTTAAGTATGAACATTATTCCGCTGTTTTAAGTCGACGTTAATATTTCTCATCAATATTTAAGCATTCAAGCGAAGATATGCACACAGCAAATAGTTTTCATCTTCTCTTAATATTAAATCTACAACAGATGGTTAAAATGACCGGTTCCGCGTGTTTTATTTCGAAATTATTAAGATATTAAAGTTCTATGAAAATCCTATTCAGTCAGTTTTTTAATTTGAGCATCCATTATAATAGTAATGGCGAAAGACGAAATAAGTTAAGTTATTCGTTAAAGGAACCATTTTTATAGATCAGCACACATTAATCGATTTTATTATTTGGTGGATTTAGTGTTAGAAAATGATTAAGAACGACAAAGTTCGTATCATTGTAATTCTGGAAAGAATAACTCGGATTGCACCCTTGCACGCTTCGAAAGGTTACTTTCTTTCCTTCCCTGATAAGAAAGAAATGTAATTGTTTAAATGCAAATCAGACAAGTTAACTTTAGCAAGTTAAATATTTACAGACATCTTAATTACTTTACTCGCTAGTTATCTGATTTTACGGAGACGGATGCTGCCGACTTTCGAATATTGTACGATACTTGTAGTGATAATTTCATTTACCTACCATTTCATACGTAATTTTTCCTTCAGACTTCTCTAACGCCTTGTGAATCTCCGTTCTCAATGTTTTCTGCACGTCTATATTTAATGCGAGTTCGTAAAGACCGAAGGCCATGGCGGAAGAGGAAGTTTCGAAACCGGCAAGGTAGAAAGTAGCTGCCTGCGATACTAAGTCGTCTTCGGTGAATTCTGTAACACGTATCAAAGGAAACTACATTTTAGAGAAAGAAAAGATACACGGTATTATCAGGAACGTAGAGTAATGATAGAGTCAATGATAGTTGTCAGTTTTTCACTATGAATTCAAAGTAAATAATCTAGAGAAGCCAATTACTGTGCTCTTTCAGCAGCTTTTAGGAATTTTTGCTATTAAACACAAAATTTTAGCAATTGAAATAATATTTCTTAACGACTTAAAGATAGATAAGAAATATTATTTCAATTGCTAAAATTGTATTTAATAGCAAAAACTCCTAAAAGCTGCTAAAAGAGCACAGTAATTGGCTTCTATAGTTTATTGGTTTCTCTCTACTACGACTTAAAGATAGATCTGAAAGTTCCTATTGTCGATATAAATATTCCCATCGCACAAGTATCAAATCTCCTTTGAATATTAGGAGGACGAAAACACACACACACACGCACACAGATATTCTGCAGCCAATTACTGCGCGCCTATTATCAGCAAAAATCAGTTACTGCGGCTCAGTTGCTGTGCTATCTCCCAGAATACTGTGCTCAATCATTGTCCTCTATCCTTGAGATCCGAGCCTCAATAAATGTGCGCAATACAAATTTAATGCTTGATAAATAATGCTTTCATAAATTTTATGCTCCATAAAAAAAATTTAATACAATAATATATCACTTAAAAGTTCAGACATTAGAGACGACTATTTTAACAAAATTTCATATAAACATTCCTCCTCTTGAAAAATATGATAGAGGTGACTTAGTGTCTTCAGCAACTAACGCACCAAGCGAAAAAATAGCTTCAGTTATTGTGCACCGTAAATAAACAAACAATTCAAATAAATAATCATTGCGTTGTTTGTCCGTAATCTTAATGCGTTTTACCAATACAATTTACGTTGTGATATCTTATCTAGAACGATTTATTTTAGTCAATATTGATTTTCATTTATTCAGTATTTTTACAAGCTGTTTCATAAGCTTTATAGAAAATTTCGCGATCTTTGTATTAAAAACTTGAAATAATTTTTCTATTTATATTAGATTCACATTTAGATTCATATTAGATTCATATTAGATTAGATTTATATTAGATTAGATATTTATTCTATTCTATTCTATTATATAATTTTAAAAACTTCCGTCTCTTCCATGTTGATCCGTAGTAAATAGATAATTAATTGAGTTTAAATGAAAGAAGTTTGATATATCTTACATGACGAATACAAAGGTAATTCTGCTTAAAAATTGACACAGTAATTGGGTACCCCACAGTAACTGTCTACATTACCGTAGATTCTAGAATGTAGAATAGCTTACTGAATCCATCGATAGCTCCCTCTTTCTCATGCGTTTGCTTCAGTTCGACGAGAAGGTCGATCAGATCGTTCCTCTTCTCCCCCGACTTAATTCGCTGATTCATCACTTCCCCGACAATGGTTCGGAAATAATCCGTCGCGTGTTTGCCGAAAATTTTGGCGCGATAATACTTAGTTAGATGTGGCATAAAGAATATAATAAGGAACTCCAGGCCGCGAAAGAAGTTGAAGTCGAACATTTTTCTGCCCTGTTCCCGGAAGTGTGTTTTGGGATCGCGCAACGAATTCACTTGTAGCCCAAAAATCGTGGTGGCGATCAAATCCGTGGTAAAGTTCGCCGCAAGGTCTTTCATCTCCATCACCTTGGGAGTAGCTGAAACAGATGCGCGAGAATTATTACTATATTAGAAATTTGAACATACAAGTAGCGGACATATATTTATATATATATTTTTTTTAAGTCACTTAATTAATATATTCATATATTATATATTTAAGACTACTTGAAAAACCGTATAACTTTTTTCAAATTGGATTAAATGACTTGATTTTTTTTTAGATGCTAGAGGGGTCAGTCTACTAGACAATGACTGTAATACTTTTTTATTTTAAATTTTGCGATTACTTGGAATGACAAACAAATGTTAAAAACCCATGTTTCTCAACTTTTTTATCTGAGCCTGTAACGTAAATTTGAAAAATGCATTTTGTAGATCTTGGCAAATTATATACATGCAGAAAATTTCAGAGTCAGATCAAAAAGTTGAGAAACATGAGTTTCTTACTTTTCTTCTCATTGCAAGTAATAGCAAAATTGAAAAAAAGTATTAGAATCATTGTCTAGTAGACTGATACCTCTATCGCCTAAAAAAAATTCAAGTTATTTAGTCCAGTTTTAAAAGAAGCTATACCTTTTTTCAAGTGGTCTTAAATATATGTCCGCTACTTATAAGTAATAGTACTAGTATAAGTAATAGTACTCAAAATCTATCGGTAGAGGATTTCTCATCTTCGAACATGCTTTTACGATTAAGTCGAACATTTTCATTCATGATACGAATTACCAGAATCGTTGATATTGCTTCGAGACTTCGAACGTAGGATAATATAGACATAATGAGTGAACGTAAATCTTTTGCAATATCATCGTGTAGTGTAAGTAGTGGTTTCATAGAGACAACTTTTCCTTAGCAATATCGTGGACTAACATAAATTTGATTCTTCGAGGACCCGATCCAGTTCATCGGCAACGACCAGCATCAAGTCGAACATTTTCTTCAGCCGTCCGGAAGTGAAGAGAGGCGTCAGCTTCGTTCTAAGCACCCTCCAGCGTGGATTATTCATCAGGAAAAGATTCGCGAATCCAAGTGGATCACTGTCATCTGCCGAAGCATATCTGTCAATGAACGCGCGAAAATCCTTCACCATAACTTGTTTCGCAAGTTCGGGATCTCGTACGAGGAAGAATGGTTTATCGAAAATGTAGAATCCCGCGTACGGTTCGCCTTTGAATTGGCAATGCAGTTCCTTCGCGAAGTCTTGCGATGCTTTCTTCAACATGAAGCATTCGCCGAAATTTCCGAAGAACGGTGTCGGAGGAATTTCCGGGACTCCTCGTTTCGCCCAGTATTTGAAATTTCGCGTGGCGTACATGTACGCCGCGACGATAAGAGATGCACAGATTAGGATGCCGTCCAGGCCCCAATGAGGCGTGAGAAGCGCCATTTTCGAGATATCGAGATGAAAATGAATTTTTCTCGTACACGGAGTATCCTTCTCGTAATTAGCATTCAGCGTTTCTCTTTTCTAGGTGGCAATTATGCAGTTACACGTTGTACATTATAATTTGTAAAAAAGGTTCTTTTTACTGCGACGCTAGAGAACTCGGCAAGATTGACATGACAGTGCAAAAAATATAATCACGCACTCCGAGATAACTCTGTGTTGCAACCCGTAAAACACTTTGTAACGATAATGTGAATCGCATACTCACCACATTGTATTTATACGTCTATCCCCACTAAAGAGAGGGACAGATGTATTGCGTTTTCTTTTGGGGCGGTGGGGCGATATTACGCATTCGTGGAAAATGACTGCGAAGATAAATGCTGGTCCTGAAAAAATAATCGGCAATTAGTTCTTAATCGTGGAAAAAAGTAATTGATGATAATCGTACCTACATTAATTATTTCTCCGTTTACTCCAAACGTAACACCTGCAAGACACCACCTCCGCAGTTGAGGTAGTATTAAATATGATGGTATATATAGATTAGTATATATATAGTATATTAATAATAATATATAATATAATAATAATATTACATTATTATATATTATATATATATTATTATTATATTATAATATTAATATAATAATGTATAATATATAATAATAATATAGTATATTATATAGATAGTATATATATATATATATCTTACACTATCATATCTTATCTATATACAGATGTATATTATGTTATATTATATAATATAATATTATATATTTGTAATTCTTCGTTAATCCGTTAATCCACGTCAGTTTTGTTAGCCTATCAAATCTGTTTTCACGATTTTATTCTGATGAATGAGGAAATCCTTTATCTTACAGCTCAATGAATGCATAAACTTCGATGTTTTGAGACACTTGCATACTGCGTTTTTTCTTTGCAAACACAGATTTGTTTACTATGTTCTTACATTGAATCAACACAGTGATACTCGAAGATTCATATTCCAATACTCGATCGTAGAAAATCTGTCATATCATCGCATTCGTGCATCGCACACTCCTCGCAAATTCCTCTCGTCGTTCCTCAGTCGTCGCTCAGATTTTTAGCGGTGGGGGAAAGAAGACGGCGTACGTCGGCCCACGACGGTATAACGCATCTGTTTATCATTTCGACTGTTGCGTCAGTGTGGCTAGCACAATGGCATTTTTAAACTGAACAAATCGTTTTCTACTACAATTCATTGACACTTGGACGGCGCGCTTTGTTGAGGAAAACATAACTGAGTATGCTTAGAATTATTTACGACTTTTTCCATTTAATTTGTTCAATTTATTTTGTAGCGCACTCCTCCTAGCACGTGAATATTTAAATCAGTTGTCAGAAACCTAAATAGGGAAATAACAATATTCATACTCTGGGTCCAAATGGGTCGCGTCCTCCGAGTGTTTAGTGAGCAAAACATTGTCAGCATCTACTCTCAGCATCTACACATGTAACAGCGATTTACACAATTGCGTTACAAAAGCAATTGATACAACATATCTTGTCTTTTCTACTCTTTTATTATTGAATCAATTTCTTGTTTTATAAGTCTTTTATGCACATGTGATAGAGATGACGTATTAATCTCGTTTTACCGAGTCATTCCACGTTAAATCGATTATGTTACACTTGTTTACAAGGCAGTTTCATTAAATCTGCAAAAGTATTCGAGATGGTATACAAATTTAGTCATATTTAACTTACAGAGCAGG